CAACCCCCTGGCACTGACGGCAACGCCCGCACGGCTCCCAGCTGCCAGGCCCACCAATTCTTCTCCCCCACCCCCTTCTCCCGCTCCCCCCGGGCACTGGCGGCGAAGCCTGAGCGGCTCCCAGCACGGAGGGGGCAACTTGGCTATTAGATATATAGATTCAAGAAGTTATAGAAAAGATGGTATTATAGAACAAGTATGAATCTGTAGGCAAGAGAAGTATATTGAAAAGTGTTAATTAAAGATACAAATAAGATTGGTTTAAGGATCCCAGGAGGCTGTAGAACTGGGGAAGAATATATAGGGAATATATGTAGATTTAGAAAACCCCTTTAAAAGACAGAGTATTACTAAAATGTGAAAGAATGTAATGTGATATCTTATAGAATTTAGTATAGAAAAAGAAAGTATGTGACTATGAAGCTGGGGAATGGTATAAATTGAGTTAATAGTTAAATATATATTTTATAAGACTATTACAGAATGTTCAGACAATGCAGTAATAGAAGGAAATGTGTTTTGTTAATTAATAGACTTGTAAAACTCTAGATTTGTGCATTTTTAAAAGCCATACTGATAGAACGAGTTAGATAAAATATTGGCTTATTAAATATAGACTTGCAAAAATTTGGGGAGGTGGGAATTTGGTAATTAGATACTAATGTATGAGGTGTTTTAAGAGATATGATGTTGTTAATACTCTCAGGTATGTTTTGTTTGGTTGTCTGTTAAAAATAATAACAATTATTATATTAAAAAAGCCGAGTACTTTTGGTTTACATTATGAATTCCACCCTGCAAACAAATAAGTCTTGAAAGAAAAATAGAAAGCACACAAGCTACACAAGAGTGTTGACATTATAACATGTTTATCCGGAACGCTCTTATTCTTAACTCTTTCTAAAAAGAAGCTATCTGTATCTTAAGAATTGGCTAAGACATAACAGTCTTTCACAGATATGGAAATGAACGAGAAGAAAAAGTCAGTCAAGGGTCTTTATCTTGTAGGAAATATCAGATGCAATTGCATGTCAAAGATTTCGTGGAATGGCCACACCACCTTTGTCAGACATATACCTAAATGGTCTACTATGAAGAACTGATTCCACCTTTTTTCCACTTATGCTGTATTTGCATCTTTGAACTGACACAGGCTATGATCATCATTTATTAAAATATTTGTATCATGTCTTTCCCTCATGGTTCAAGGTGGCTTACAATAATAATTAAAGACATTTTCAGTTTAAAACCTAAAATAAAATAACAGCCCCCAAATCTCTCTCCACTCCCCCTCTTAAAAGATGCCTACCAATTATGACTCCCTCAATAGTCCAAAAGGTCAAAGAGGACGGGGACGGCAAAGGATGAGATGGTTAGACAGTGTCATAGATGCAACGAACATGAAGTTGAGCAAACTTCAGAGGACGGTGGAAGACCGGAAGGCCTGGCATGATCTGGTCCATGGGGTTGCGAAGAGTTGGACTCGACTGTGCAACTGAACAACAACAATAGTCCAGGCAAACAGGCAGGTCAATGCCAGAGCTCTAAGTGGTGGGTTAGCCAACAGATGGCTGCCTGATGACCACAGTGACCGCACAGGGCCATATGGAAGGTTACAGTCCTTCAGATATGTGGGTCCAAGGTTCTGAAAGACTTTAAAGGTCATAACGAGCACCTTGAAATTGAATCTGGAAACAGCCAATGTAGCCATTTCAAAATGGCCAACATATGTTTCTGTTCAGGCTGATGCATTCTGTACCAGTTGTAGTTTCTGGGTTATCTTCTGGATTGTCTTGCAGCAATTCAATCATTGAGAGTTTACAGAAGTATGGATTAGCAGGGCCAGATTAGCTGAATCTAATGAGAGAGTTGGTGAACCAGATGCAGCTGACAAAAAGTGTTCCTGGACAACCTGCTTTTCAAACAGCAAGGTGGGATCCATGAATACACCCCACCCACTCTTAACTTGCTCTAAAAAAGCCATCACTCCGATTAGATTTAGTTAGAGTCAATCTCTCTAGAATACCAGCCTTCCCAGCCAGCATTATTTGTTTGTCTGAATTCAGCTTCAGTTTGTTCTGCCTTAGCCACCTGACTACAGCCTCAAAGCACCAGTTCAGAACCAAGATGGATGCAAGAGTCCCTGACAGGAGAAAACTGAATTGCAAATTATTGAAAGAACTAGAAATAAGTCCCAAGTATTGTCTAAAAGTAATCATAAAAAGAAAAACACAGTAAGTTCTCAACTGTGTCTCAATCTGCCCCTCAGATCTCTACAGACATCTAATATGAAAAATATCTACAACTATATTGCCTTTTTGTTTCTGATCTTGTGTGTGCTGCTATAGAAGCAAATTCACCTACAGGAAGCTCCACTAGAAATATATTCCATTAGAAGCTGTCACTTTCCATAGATTCATATTGAAAAGGAGAAGTGATGCCATGATTTCCAGCAATCCCCCCCCCAAAAAAAACCCCTTTACTTCCATAGGACACAACAGCAGATCTCGCTACTCTAGTTGGGCTGTTCAAAAATGAGTCAGTGGTGACTTTCGTAAGAAAAAACCCCCTCTTCCTACTTAAACTCCAGGAAATGTGTGAGCTACCGAACACATGATGATGTAAAAAATACTTGAAAGCAAGGACAAACCAATTCTCTTTTGCCTGTCTCGGAACAATAAACCTTTAAAATATTGCATACCACAACTAATTAGGGGAAAAAATGTTATTCCTTAAAAGCTGTTCTGTCATCTACACTGAGACGGAAAAGCAAACAAGAACAAGATTGCACACCTCTGGCAAGATTGTGCAATTATTACAGCCACACAGCTAATTATTCTGCTCTGAACAAAGTAAAGAACTGGTTACTGAAGCCAACATCCATAATTTCAGCCAAATAGCCAAACTCATAACGGATTTTGCATCACTGCTGAAAACTACTCCTAAAAAATAACCAAGTCTCTCTTGAAAGTTATACAAGTCAACATGCTTCTGATATGAACTTGTTCCTTGGGGTGGGGTATACCATGTTATTTAACACCACCTGGTAACTGTGATGTAACTATGCCACTCCAACCATCTACAAAAAATATACAAATAGGACTTTGTTTTTTGAAGGGAGAAGAAAACTGGACATGGAAGATGAAGGGATCAGTTGAGGGGAGGGTAAGTACATTTCATTACACTTGAGATACACTGTGAAAATGGCACACAGTAGAAGCTCATGAAAGAAGGGTGCAGGTGCAGTACAGGTCATTCCAAACTGCCCTATTTCTATGTTTTAAAAAGAGAAGAGCCTTTTAAAGCCTTTGTAGTGCTCTCCAACCTTGGTTTCATGAGTGTTTTTAACTGCATTTCAGTGCAATAGAGCAACTGAGAACTGCTAGAGATGTTAAATTACTTGAATGGAAAGCATCTATAAGGAAACATACCATACAAGACTGATACATTTTAAAAACATTGTTATCCGTAACATATAAAAGTATTACTTAGATTTATCTTGACTGAACAGACTGAAACAAATTTCAAAGGAAAAGATTCAGCAATTTAAGTATACTTGCTTTTCTTTGTTCATCATCTTTGCAGTGCTGAAGCTTTTCATCGAATAGCTGAAAAAATAATATAGTAACAAATATTGTTTGTGGACCTTTTACTTAACACACACACACAAAGAAACACAAATAGAATCTCCAAATACATTCTTGAAAACCTACCTGGTATGGGTTGCATCGCACCATTTCACTTAACTGAGCTTTGTCTGTGCAAGGTGCACCTGGTTGACACAAGGGGCTCTTGTGCCAGAAGGACACACTGCACTTAGCCAAACACAGTAGCCTGTATCCAACCACACATTCTGAAGACTTAAGATCACTTACCTTTTCTAATGAAGGGGCAGAGATTTCTGCTGACTCCACCTTCCCACAGCAGAACCCCACTTTGCCCCCTATGCTGTTCCTGAGAATCTGTTGACTCCTATGGAGCAAAATTTCAGGGGGCTCAGTAAGCTACAACAGGAAGGAGAATTGGCAGAAATCACCACCCCCTCTTAAGAAAACTTAACAAGCCTTTAATCTTCATAACTATGTGGTTGGATACAATCCATTAAGCCTCTTGGTGATTTGAACATTACAAATACGATAATTTTATTTTTACGTAGATTTACGTAATCTCAGGATTTTTGTTTCTTACATTCTTTAAGACTTAACAGTTGCAAAGCCAGGGAATCAATAGAGCACTACAAATTATGCAATAATTATCAGCATTATCTACTGTTCTCTGATCTCCTTCTCCCCAATTATCTCTTTCAAGACAAGCTAATACCGCTGTCCAGTTGATGGCGGCACACTAGACAGACGCATCTCCCGGACCTTCCGGAGATGTGGTCTGTGCACGGCGGGAAGGAGGGGGAGCGCTGGCCCGTTACCGCCCCAGGGAGCCGGGCGGAAGGCTCCTAACCAGGGGACTTATGAGGAGTCGCCTCTTCACCTACTCGTTGTGGGTGAATTGAGGCGCTCCTGTGTCCCAATGGTCCTTCCTGCGCAGTGCCCAAATGGGACCTAGTGACGCTGACCAGGGCAAGTGTAGGAGGTCAAGTGGATGAAATGAAGCAAAGCAGGGTCGGAAGACCAGATATGAACGTGAGTCTGACTGAGCGAAACAACGGTTAAAGAGAAAAAGAAAGCTCCCTACCCCATGTTGAAAAACAGAAAGTGAAGCGGGCGCAGGAGGGATGCCTCCTAACTGCATGAACTTTTGAGGGAATCGAGGGGGGGGGGAGCGGAAGAGAAGGCATGCATAACTGTTAAGAAATACTTACCAAGGCGAGTTCAGGCATTTGAGCGCATATTCAGAGACTTTCAAAATATTTTCCAAAGTAAACAACTGAGAAAGATGGCAGGGAAGAGGACGGAGAAAGAGAAACTTTCAAAATCGAAACTAACGGAGAGCCCTAAACCGGAAGGACTAACGAGCTGGCAAAAACTTTGGCAGAATCCATGCGCCCTCTACTGGACCAAATGAGTAACCTCAAGGATCAGATATCGAAAATGACTCAGTGCATCACCACACAGCAGACACAGATAACCGAGACACTTAAAATGATGAATGAAACGGCTGAAAAGGTGAAAGAAGTGGACGCCACTGCACAAAAGGTTAAAAAGAAAGTTCAAAAGCTGGAAAAGAAGCAAGTCTCTACGGAAGAGCAACTGCTACAATTACAAATGGAAAAGGCTAATATGATACTTCGCTTCCAGGGCTTGCCAGAGACAAAGGGAGAGAATCTTAAGGAACTAATGAGTGAAGTATTGGCCCCAGTGACAGATATGAAGGCGGAACTCTTGTTAAAC